TAATGCCGCTTGTCCGCCGGTTTCAGACCCTAGTGTGAAAACGTCCTGTGATAGGTTTGCCTTAAGGCTGCTATAGAGCCAGTTTGGTGTAGTGATTTGAGTGTTGGATTAGGACTCTGGAAGAGGAAGGTACAAATCCCCAAATAGTTTTGGAATAGTTTCCAATAGATAATTGGCCAGTGATTGGGGTGATCAGAGATACCTTTTAAGTTCCCCATCTTCAAAAGCCCTAATCATTACTGTAATGGTTATTTACTGAGTGTGCTCACAAGACTCAATGGACTCCCTCTAGTGTCTAGATTAAAACCATTACATTACAAAAGCAACCAAAAAAAAAAAATCCACATATTTGTCTGTTGTACCATGATTGCAATAATTCTAGAATTGTACAGGTTTAATCCAAATGCTGAATTGAAAACTACGTTGTAATTACATTAAAATGTGCTCCCACCTTGCAAGCATAATAACTTTAATAGCATGATCAAAATGAAAGTTATAAAACAGAATTTAGCGCCCAAGTGAAAAATGGCAGCAAATCACACAGTTCACAGTTGTAACTGTCCTTCACGCTGAGTTCAAAATTAACAACTACTATTCAGCATTTGGGATGGGGAGGGAGAGATCTAATGTTCTTGTAAACAGATGGGATATGCTGCCTCACTGTGTGCACAGCAGCAGTAACAAGAACAAAAATGGTGTTTTAAATAGACTTGAATTAGCAGGGTAGAGCTGTGGCTAGATATTGGATTGCTTGCGCTCTTCGTATGTACAGTAAGAAGTACATGTCTAAATTCCTATGGATGCCCAAGGGATTTGAACAGCTTTAATCCTACTGAGGATTGCACTCTTGGCCTTGGGAATCGGTATTAACTTCAGATCAGTATCCCTTCGGTCCATGTTGGATAGTTTTTCTATCAAATCATTCTCTGACAGCATGAAGAGTTTTTGCAATATTTAAAAACAGTACCACAAATAAAAGGTATCACATCATGCCACCTAGAGAGGTATTTTAAGCACCATATTCCAACCTTCCCTTTGTACATAGAGATAACTGTTGAGGCTATCAATAAATAAAATATTTTTTTCTAGAATTTCAAAAGCTCTGATGAAGATCAATGCCTTCATCTTTTTTTAGCACCACACATTTGTCAAAATAATTATTTTCACATGTAGTTCTCATAGCCTCTAACATTTCATAGATGAAGGTCAGGACATGTGTGCCTAAGTAAATCAAAGTGTGGTCAAGATGGCAAGAGCTATTAATGAGGAAGAACAGACAAGCTAGGAGGGCTGCAGCAGTTTAGTTTTGCCTGAGCCTGCTGGGAAGGGCAAGATTCCTCCTTCTCCTCTCTTTTCTCCCTTTACTGATTTAATTGAACACAAACTAGAGCATGCCCTACAAAGCCAGTGTGGCTTAGTGGTTTGAGTGATGGATTTGAACTGTGAGAGACCAGGGTTCGAATCCTTGCTTGGCCATCGAGAACCAATACCCAATTGTGTATTGATTCAATACACAAGAAAGTCCCAGATTTTGATCCTATCCTTTCCAGTTTTATTTTGGAGAGCCATACAAATTTTGTTTATCAATTATGTCAAAGGGCAGAAATGAATTCCTCACAATATATTTTCTACAGCTAATATTTCACCATCTGTAATACCACAATTATTGGCATGTTTATCCAGAAGTAAGCCCCATGTTCACCCTACAGATAAGAGTAAGGGGGGCTGCAGACTGCCAGAAATAGTGCAAATTGAGTCCACTTTAAGGGTTAGGGTTAGTGCTAGGGAATTATGGGAATTGTTTTTTTTTTTTTCTGAGACATTGAGCCTTCTTTGTCAGAGAGCTCTGGTGCCACAATAAAATACAGTTCCCATGATTCCCTAACCCTAACCCTAACCCTAAAAGTGGACTCAATTTGCACTATTTCTGGCAGTCTGCAACCCCCCTAAGTCATACAGTTAAAATCAATATAGTCCTTTGATTAAAGCACAGTATATTTAGATTCCCGCACCTCTTCCCAGTTTTTACACAGCTAGTCAAAGGAATGTTTTTTTCCATCTCTTTCATGACAAGAAAAACCCTCAGTGGCTAATATTGACGTATATTAGGCCCGATCATCACTTTGACTTGGTAAGCACTATACTCTACAGATGTTACATATCTTACTTCACAGAGGGAAGTCCTTTGAACATATCAAAGGTCAGTTTTCTGTTTGAATGGTCATTCCTTCAAGTCCAGTTTGAAGATTAAAAAGAAATGAAAAGGGAGAGTCAAGGTGGGCCTTGAAGTTGCCCATCCCACACTATGCACTTGTACAGCAAGTTGAGTAGCCACCCAGTCATTTTTCCAAACTATGGCTATTATGTAAATATTTATATTTACAAGAAAGTCCCAGATGTTGATCCTATCCTATCCTTATGTAAATATTTATATTTACATAATAACAGAGATTTTCAAATGTGCATACATGAACATACCAACCCAAACCAGACTTTCCTTTCCATCTCACACATGGATATCTGATCTGGATTGGGATCTGTGTCTGGACGTATAGGTTTTTAACCTGTTGTTCCCTCTTGTTTTTCAAATCCAGATTATGTAGCCTTGTGCCTGAAATGTATATTGCCCCAACCCTGGATCCATTAATTAGATCCTTTTATACACACACACTTGGTTCAAAGTAGGGAGGCTTAAAGTTCCCTCCACCCCAAGGGTCCCAATCTAGGGTAGAGTCATGGATGATGAGAAGAGACAGGGCCATATCAGTGGATATACGCAAACTCTGGAAGTTCTCATCCTGAGAGGCTAAACTGCCACTGCATTTAACTATATTTTGTCATATGGAGAAGACCTCAAGCAGCATCTCCTTCATGATTTTTATCTATTTGTGTTTATAATATTTTGTACTGTTGTTGCATTTTATTACATTTTCTTGCTGTTAGCAACTCATAAGTAGCATGTGCAACAAATAAGTTTTTTATGGATTGCACTTAAAGAGCTGGGTGTGCCAATACATATGATTGTCCTGATGTGCAATCTATACTCAGGACGAGAGGCCACAGTTAGCACAGAAAATGGAGAAACAGAGTTGTTCCCAATTGGTAAGGGAATTAGACAAGGATGTATCTAATCACCCTATTTGTTCAACTTATATGCAGAAGATATGTGAAAAGTAGGCTAGGATTCAGAGGAAGGAAGGGTGAAGATTGGAGGAAGGACTATCAAGAACCTCAGATATGTAGGTGACACCGTAATACCAGCAGAAAACAACAAAGAGTTGGAACAACTTCTACGGAAAGTCAAAAAAGAAAATGAATGACAACACATTTCCTTCCATAATGTTTCCCAAATCTTTTTCTTTCAGCTCCTGTTATTTCTTTGCCACCTCAAGACACCCAGAATTTCACAGGAAATGATGTCATTTTTGGCTGTGAGGTATCTGCTTATCCCATGCCACACCTTGAATGGAAGAAGAAAGGAAATAAAATGTTTCTGCCAGGAGATGATGCTCATATTTCAATACAGGTATACAATGTAGAAAGACCCTCCTATTTATATAGGTCATCTATCTTTAATTGGTAGGGGTATAAGGCTGTGCAATGAGCATGAATGCTTTTTAAAAATGAGTTTAATATGCTTTTAATTGCTTTAAATTAATGTTTTGAAATTAGTATTTTAATTGGATTGATTGTTTAATGCTTTAAAAATATTCGTCCCACATATTGTTTTTCCTTGCACAACAAAAATGGTAGCAGTCTCTCTCACACACACACTCACACACTCACATACACACACACACACACACACACTTCCTTCTCCGTACCCCCTTGAAAAAGGTCAATCCTATACCAGCACCAGATTTTAGGAGTCAGAATTAGAGTTTTAGAGATTAGTCACTCTTTTAATGCAGGGGTGGGCAACTGTGTAAGACTAGTATCCACAGCCTATGCATTATAAAGCAGAACCTTATTTAATTTTGCGTCACTCTGAGAATTCTTTGGTGTGCAGGTGGGGCACACATACAAACTCACAAAATGCCTCTCCAATTCCCAACCAGAGGGGCATGGCCCAGAGCCTGAGATAGCAGTGGCAGAGGAGGAGGAGGGCATCCGGGAATTGGAGCCCAGACCTGGACTCTTGCAGTTGGGCCAGCTTCTTCCACTGCACTTCTCCATCCCTCATGTCCTCCCAAGCTTTACCATGAGCC